AGGAAGATAGAAATCCACTATTGTAACTTACAGTTAAGTTTGTCTTATCAGGTCAGGGTCTAGATTGGGTTTACCTCCTTTCGTGTCCTTTCTCATGATTTGAAATGTTTGAGTGTGTTCAGTTGTGCTTTCTGTGTGCACAGAGAAGAAAAGGTTGTAGCAATTTTGCTACAGTTCATGTCCCTACTAAGTTAATATAGGGAGCAGACTCTCTGGAGTCCAATTGAGTCAGCTGAAGAACATTTTATATCTTTTGGTGGCTAGGGTTACAGCAGATAAAGGGACGTTGGCACTTTAAAGACTAAATTTGATAGTCTTTAAGGTGCCACAAAACTGTTTCTTAGTTTTGTTGCAGTATACCAAGGGAGGGATCTTATGGCCTGTGGACAGTTTTGGACGGGATGCCTTGTATGCCTAAATGTAGGGCTAGAAATGGTGCTTGGAGCTGGGAATAAGCATTCCGGCCTGGCTTGGCTTGCAGGTCACACTGAAAGAACTGTGCTGGCTGCTCTCCGAGTCAGGAAAACAACCTTGCAGAAAGAGGGTGCTTTGGCTGGCAGGGAAAAAGACCTGGGAGGCCGGTATGCAAAGCATCCTACAGCCATCCCAGCCTCCTCCTCCCTGTATTCCAGCTAGACCAGGAAAAAAAACTTCTCCAGTGGAAAATGCGGGGTGGCAGGATATGGGGATGAAGATTGCTACCACTGCTCTTCCTGCTTTGCGTTGGCTGCTTGTAATTTTGTGAGTTCAATGCGTACAGGCATTGCAGTACAATTGCATCGTAATATGTCACCTTCTAAATGGGTGTGTTCTGTAATGATGACTTCTAATTTGGGTGTAGTTTGCTTTACCATAAGCTCATGAGTTTGTATTATATACATGTTTTTCTTCTGTAATCCAGGCACCCACTGTACTGTAGTATTTCCGTCAGTAGGCTGCAAACTCTTAGTTCAACAAGCTTTGGGAATAACAAGAAGATATTGTATACCCATAGAACACTGTCTGCGTTTCAGGAAATTCCTGCATTCTTGGCATTATTTGTAGCTAGAACAAAACATTGCAAAAATTATCTTTGGGTAACACTGCTCTTCCATAGTTCAACTTTCAAGACTTTGGATCTTCAATGAATGATTGTTCCGCAGTGCTGGTAACCCGACCAGCTGTTACTTTCCCTCTTATAGAAACAGTGTTTGATTCACTGCAATGTATAGTCCTAATGTACTCATTGGATTGTGTATATTACAGGTCTTGAACTAGTGGGATGTAATATAACACCAAACTGTGTCACCAGTTAGAATTTGGAGAATCAAAGAGGCCTCCAACTTGATTTAGCAGTTTTATCTGATGCATAGTATGTGGGCCAATGTAGTTGGCCAGTGTGGTATAATGGTTAGATTGGGACTTGGGAGGTCTGGGTTATAGTTTCCATCTGGCTGTGAAACTCATTGGTGACACTGGAAGAATCAGTATCCCTCAGAGTAACCTTGTTCCTTATAGAAAAAAGGCAGAATATAAACATAATAAATGTAAATGCATGATCCTTTTTTATGTCCACCCTAATTACTTTTTTATTTTATTTATTTTTTTCAATTTATATCCTGCCTTTTTCCTACAAAGGGCTCAAGGCAGTTTACATTATTCTCCTCCTCCATCTTATCCCCACAACAACCCTATGAGGTAGGTTGGGCTGAGAGTCTGTGACTGGCCTAAAGTCACCCAGTTGGCTCCATGGCTGAGCGGGGACTAGAACCCGGATTGTCTGAGTCCCAGTCCCATGCTCTTAACCACTACACCACGCTGGCTCAAAAAGAATTTTAAGAATTAGGGGTAGCTGTTTATTGGGGGTGGGTGTCTAATAAGGAATGACATTTTGAAATGGCTCTTTTGCTTCAGCCTGCTGTTTGGGGTAACTTTTCCAAGGATGCTCTATTTTGAAAGATATTTTTAAAGCACTTGCGTAAAACCCATGGTTTGCCTATTCCTGATTGGTGCTTTGAATCCCAAAAGAATTGAAGTAGACGCACAGGATATGGTATAATTTTGCTTTGTGGCATTTGTCATCTCAAAAAGCAAACCACTGTGGGAGTGAGAGGTGTTCAAGCCCTGGAGGTTAAGATCATAAATTCCTACAAATAGCAACTTGTTGTTGATGTTGTTAACAGAGAAACATAATTCTAGGCAAAATGAACTAAGAAGCATTTATTAAGCAATTTGTGTCGTGGGCTCCACCTTGCTTCCTCACGTGGGTCCCAGAAGACGAGTATGTTGATTTTCTCTTAATGCAGACAGTAAAACCAGACTATTTTGGTATCTACTGTCATCTGTGGGACTAAGCTGTTCCAGAAGTAGAGTTCTGAGACTAGCTGCTCCCAAAGCTATCAGTGGGACTTCCTCAGCAAATGCAAATATCCTTAATGCTGGAGAAGCTATTGAGCTTTATGCACTTTCCACTTACCTTTAAAAAATAGTGAAAAGCAAGAATGGGAAGCGATATTGAGCAAAAGGCATGTAATGTCATTACCTCTCCAGGTGACTTCACCATGCCCCATTCCTACCATGCTTCTTTCTTGCTTCTGCATTATTGTATGTGATTGCATCCAGGTTAACCCATTTCTACCATCTTTTCTATTAAAATGTTTTTAAGCCTAAAGTGTTGCTTACAAGAAGAACTATCGCTGGATCCAAAATCTCACTTAGAATTAACTGGAATACCGTTACCCTGGGAATACTGTCAAAGAACTAATTGGATTGTGTATGTTATTGGTTTTGAACTAGTGGAATATAACATGACACCAAACTGTGTCACCAGTTGGAGTAATAACAGCTTAAAATTAAAATTAAAAAGAAATGAGTGAGAGATAGTGAATACACACATATGATGAAATGTTCAGATTGAGTATCTTATTGAGACTTGGATTAAATATAGATGTTTGTTCAGCAAATCCATGTTATGGGTAGGACGCATGAAATTTCATGTAGTTGTGTACTGATTGCTTTATGTTCTCTGATCAGTATTGGATAATGTAGCTGAGCAGTTGTACCTACATCTTGGGAACTTTTAAGAAGCTAAATATACCTACTTGGCTAGATCTTAAAAGGAAGCAATTTATGGAGTGTGTTCTCTTCTCTGATAGGCATCTTCCTTCATTCTCTGATTGTTGGCCTAGTTCTCTGTTTTGTTTGAAAGCTGAGACATTTTAATCCTTTTCAGTTTGTCCTTCTAAACAAAGCCGTAATTTGGACATTTGTGCGCAACATGAATTCTCTAACTGAGACCTAGCTGGCTGTAGGGTATGCGCTTTTTCATTCAGTGGTTCTTTTTCATTTTGGACATTTTACACCTGTCTGAGTTTTTTTGATAGGCTATTTTAGAAATAGAATTATTGGTGGGAAAAGCTTTTTGCTCTGCATAAAACCATTTCCATCAGCTTTAATACACAGATGATCCACAGCCATAAACAAAGACTGAAGTGCACTGAATGCTAAGCACTGCATTTGCTTATTTATATTGTTTAGCATAAATTCAGCCTTGGAACACTATGTTATAAACAAGCTGGAGGAGGCTTCAGCAAAGTTCCAGCAACATGGGCAGTTCCAGTGAGCATTCTGAATGTCAAGGCTGTGGAAATTGCATAGTTAGGTCATTGTTTCGTGTTTTGGGATGGAGGCATTATTAATGGATCTGGAACCAGCATATTGAGCAGCTTGGAAGCCAAAGGTACTAGGATGACAGACTTTGACTGTCGCAATCAAGAATGCTGTCACCAGTTGTCAAATCAGTTATTACACAATCGGCTTGTTCAGCACTTCCATGGTCAAGAATATATAATTGTATAACTCATATCCCCACTACAGCTACTGCAAGCATTGGGTGGTCTTAATGAAACAACTTTTAGTACCAAATAGTGATGATGATGATACACTTACTTTGTTGTGAACTGTCCAGAAAGCTTTGGCTATTGAGTGATATGGAAATATTAATAATAATATATTAACAACAACTGCACTGATGCTAGAAACACCCATTGTGCAAACAAAAAGAATACGCTTGCAAATTTTGCTCAAAGGCATTAATTTTAAAGAAAAATGAAACTGCCTTTTCTGTGTCCTTTCCCAATTGGGAATGCAAATCTGTTGGATCTTCCAGGAGCCACCTATTCTCGATTTGATGTGCTGCATTAAATTGAAGTGGCACAGCTGGAGACCCAGAATCTAATTGAATAGTTCCAAATTGGTGTCCTCTGGGAATTCCTGGCATGATCCTGTCTTGCTTTTGCCCTGAGAACAGCCTGCAAAGGAATTTGATGGGGAGTCTCTGGAGGGAACTTGCGCTAACAGCAGGGAATTGCAATGTTAGCCAGGCCTGCAGCTCTTACTAAACAGAGATTCAGTACATTTTTGGACAATGACTGTGTCATCAGGATGTCAGTTGTGCCCTGGACACCACTGACAAATCAAAACTTCAACAGGAAAAGCCTTCCTAGTAAGTGAATTGTATTGTATTGTAGCTTGCTTTTGTCATCTGTCGGCCACTGGGTCCAAAGCACTATTGTAATTCTTTTATTACCTATTATCTTGGCCAAATGCCAAAGGAGGGGAGGCATTATTTACCCTGATTTTACTAACTGCTGTTTACGTAATAGCATTTGCATCCTGACCTTCTTTCAAGTTGCTGAGGACAACGTCTATGGGGTCATCCCATTTTATTATCAATAGCTTTGTGAAGCAGGTTAGAAAAAAAGAATTTGCATGTCATGGTTGCAATTCCTAAAATGTTTAATCAAAAAAATCTTGGGAACAGGTGAGTAAATCATTTCCTGTTTCAGTTGATCCAGGAATGCTCCATTCTGGGTAATTATGTGGTATCTGATCCTGGATAATGTGGAGATCTGTTTAGCTTTAACCATGTATTAGCACTGTGTACTGTTAGATAATTCATATGATTTTCCCTCTGTTTTAACTGTGTATGTATGGCTTTTCTTTTTGCCTTTGGTTTGTAGAGATTCGAGCTCAGCTTATTGAACAACTGAAATGTCTTGATCAGCAATGTGAGCTTAGAGTCCAACTGCTCCAGGACCTGCAAGATTTTTTCCGCAAAAAGGCTGAGATTGAGATGGATTACTCCAGGAATTTAGAGAAGCTGGCTGAACGATTTCTAGCAAAAACAAGGAGCACCAAAGATCAACAATTCAAGTAAAATGCTTTTCTTTGTCAAGGAAGTGGGGAGGCTTACTGAAATAATGGGATGGAGATGGGCTAATGACGTATATACGTATTACATTATGAATGTCATAACCAAACATTTTGGATTTGTGTGTTTATTTTCTGGCTTTCATCAGCAACCAAAATATAGAAGAATACCCTTTGGCCTACCACAGTGTTAGCTGGTAGCAGAACTCATGTGCTGAGTGAACATGCATGCTCTGTGTAATCATATAGTGCTTGTGTTCATTTCCTGGTAGCCTCTTTGCTGGAGAGCTACATGAACTCCTCCAAAACGTGAAACTCAAATGTAATCGGGAATTATGTCCCATTCTTTTGATTGTGCATGGAAGGAGATGATTTGAGAGTGGAAATTTTCGTGAAATTGAGCTGTGCAACTGTAGCTTGTTGCTGATCATTAGGAATTGTAAGCAGCTGTAGATTTACTTAATGCCTGAAACAGTTCACACAAACAACATCATGGGTTGCTATCAGGGGGTTCTTCCTCCTTTTGATATGCACTGGCATCAGTGTGCATGGGTTTTCTTTGATGCAAAAGATGAAGTGGAAATTAATGGTAGTGATGAAACTGGTGTTATGTATTGTGAATTCTCTAAAAAAAATTAATGAAAGCCTGTGGAGCATCAGTGTTGAGTGGAGGGTGCTCAGTATTGGACAGTTCTTGCCCCTGAAAAGTAGAGCAGAGGTATGCAACCCCTGACCCCTCGTGGTTGGCCTGACCCTACCACCAAATTTCCCCTAACTGTATTCTACCCCAGAGGTCCAAATACTTATCAACACGGAAGGAATGATCCAGATCAGCACCACTGGATGTGTGCACATGATGCCTGTGTGTGTTTGTGTGTTTCCTGCTCTCACAGTGAAACAGGTTGTATACCCCTTATTAGAATAACAATCTGATCAGTAGTACATTTGAAGAGGGGGGGGGGGAATTGTGGCTTTAAGCCAAAAGGGATTCTTGAACCGTTTTGAACCATTCATGAATCCCTGTCAGCTGCATTTATTTCTGGACCTGCCTGTAGGCATTTGAGGATAGTCTGTTTAAAGGGAACTGCAACAGAATTGCAGTGTAAGTCAAATATACCAGCTCCCCACCCTTTTTTTTTTTTTTTTTTTTGGTCTCAACAGGGCATTCCTTAAGAACTTAGTACAAAAAGAATGACCTCATCCTCATTTGTCTCATAACTGCATGATCCTAATGATTTATGTGATTAATTTTTAAACTAAGTATTATTTGAAGAAAGAGCTGGTTTCTCATAATTGCCCTTGTGTGCCCACAAGGCCTTTTTCAGTATTTGCTTTCTAGACTTAGAGATGTGGGGAGGAGGGGGAAAGAAATCTGTGGCCCCTAGGCAGCATCTAGGGGGCTTAGGATATTTTGAATCTTCAGATGTGAGGTTAGAAAGAGCTCTAATCATGCAGCTGGGGATCCACACTAGGATACCCCCCCACACACACACACACAAACACACTGGCATGAGAAGAGCTGCCTTAGAGAAGGGGTAAAGGGAGTGTTCCAGGGGGCGAGGAGGGAGGGAGACTGGGACCACTGGGATGCAATGTGTCTTGCCGGTACTAAAGCCCCCTTCCCTCTCTTTCTGAAGTGGCAAAGCTAGATAGCCTAAAACAGCTGACTTCCATGATGGGAGGACCACTGAAGTGAGGATCTGCTACATAATCCTCTAAGTTAGTAGGTTTATGGGCATTTCCATTGACTTGCTCCCTTAGAAGCTACGTGTGAATGTGTGATTCCTGCCTTCCATTGACCACAACTGTGCTAATCCACTTGTTGCAACATTACATATAGGAAGATACCAGTTCATTATGTAGGACAACATATTTTTTGAAACAGATCCAAAAATGTGGCATGGATGACACATGCTTTGTGTAGTGCTTCTGCAGTGTATATCTAGAAAGCAGAGCATTGTCAACTGAAATGTTTTTGGTCCTCATGTTTTCCAAAATGACATCAAAAATATACAGCAGAACATTGCTTAAAAGAGCAGAAACAGGAAAGCAGCAAATAGGGCCCAAACCTTTGGTTGTTTGTGCCTTAAATTTGTGTGGTTTTGCAAGATTCTTGTTCCCAGGAACAAGAACAAGATTATTAGCAAGATTCTTGCTCCCAGAAACGTCTGCAAGTTTCCCAGATCGATGTATATCAAATTCATAATTTGGCTACAGTGGAATATACACAGCATGTCAACTGTAGTTTTGGCAGCTGCTTGGCTTGTGGGAATGCTATGCAAAATTATGCAAATGATGTGTAAATTAGTCAAAGCCTTTCATGTTATGTTGGACATACAGTATGGCCTTCGGATAGGCAAGGTGCTCATCTCTGATTGTCTATCATGAAAAAGACTTTCTGCTGCAACAAATATTTCAACAATGTGTGAAACTTGTCATGTTCTGTTGTCAGGATAGCAGCTGGGACTGCTTTGTGATGTAAAGCTGGCCTTGGGATTGGAAAAAAAATCAGCTCCAGGGATACTCAGCCTGTCCTTTAAGGAAGAAATCCATCTGGATATGTATCTATTCCAAATTCAGTTTGTTTAATTTCCAGCCATTGTGGGATTAGAATGATTTGTTTTTATTAGATGATTTAATCACTGTGTTTGAGGATATGGTTTGGCTGTGGTAGAAGAAGCAACCTTCTCTTTTACTAGAAAGCCTTCCTCTGAAAGCCATTAACTCTTTACCCTGTGGCTTCCTTTTTGTCCTGCTTTGATGTGGTTCACCTTTTGTTCTCCCCCTTACTGATGCTTAATGCAAACATCCTCATTAAAACATATACTGCAGTATATCACTGCTAAAGACAGACCCCTAGGCCTTGCTCATAAAGAGAATTGTGAATGTCCAGCCCCTATTTATAGAACAGTAACTGTGTCCTGGACTTTTTTTTTTTTGCTTCCCCTTTTCTGCAACAGAGGCTTAAAAAAACTTTTAAGAACTGCATTCTCTTCTCATTCTGTGTGTAGTAAAAGAGAAATGACTTTTTTGGATGATGGTTAGTTCTCCCACATTCCAAATAAACTACTCTTAGTTTTTTTTCCAGTGATAAGTGCAAGGATAAACTTCTATTTAATGATGGTGTCAAATTTCCCTAGTGGACATGCTCTCTCATTAGAGCCATATCACTTATAGCTGCTGCTTTTCCTTTGCTGGGCATTTCAGATGAATGTTTGATATGGAAGCTGTTAAGGTGGCCCAGCAGGTTTTTAATTGATGCTGGAGGAAATGTCACTCAAAAGTCCTTGGTAGTACTTAGAGTGAGAAAGTATGCCTGCACACACAAACATATCCACTCCTTATCTCCATTCCTCTGTTTCATTCATGCTGTTTGTGAATGCAGTTTTGTTTTTAAAATATACTGGCAGAGTTCCTTTACAGGCATAACCTGAAGTTTGAACAGAAAAGGATTTTGGGGGATAAAATGGCAAGAATGGTCTGCCTCTCTAATTTGGAGCATGTAACTATTTAGGCTATGGAAATTTTGCAGTTTTGTGGTACGTATCTTCTTTCTCCAAGCCGTGGAATTTTCAGAGTCCATGGAACTCTTCATCATTTTGAACATTTTTTCTGGTGGCTGAAGACCAAATTTCACTCTTGAGCCCTTTTTTAGTTTTAGCACCTATATATTATAAAGTGTATTAAAACAGTGTTTTCCTGCTGTCACAGGTGGCTTTTAATAGTGTGATCATCCCCCCCCCCCCTCGCCCCATTCAATCACACTGTAGATGTTCAGGCAGAAAAAATAACCAATGAATAGGTAATCAAGCTCACCATAACAGAACAATGTTGGGACTGCTTGGTCCCATATTATCCAATTCAAATCAGTTTTTAGGAGGGCATTCAGAATTTACTGGTGGCCTATAGCAAAAAATAAATAGCATCTCAGAACTCAGCTCTGAGTCAAAGGCTCCCAACTCCAGAACCCAGATTCCAGTTATTCTTCTACAATAAATAAATAAAGTGAACAAACTGGAGAATAACTGCTGCTGAAATGGGGAAATGAATTCAAACAGTCCTTAAAGTCCAAAAATATAGACTGTTTTTAGTTTACAGATTTTGTTTTTAACATATACATGCACATGTGTTACAAAGAGAAAAATGTAAGTTTTAGCATCAAAGGCAGTATACCTCTTTATAACTCATGGCTGAAGGACATAACCAAAAGTGTGCATTTGCTCTTGGATCCTGTTTGTGGGCTTCCCGTGAACATCCGTGGCTAGATGGATCCTTTGCCTGGTTGAACATGACTCTTTTAATATCATTATGTTAACTTCTTGGTTAGTGTACCATCTCCAAGTGCATGCATATTGGTTCTAATAGACTTGAGAGAGAGAGGTGAATATTGGAGAAAACTGGTATTTGGCAAATAAGGAGTAGAAGGTGGCACTAAGGCAAGGCAGGAGATTGAGGGGTTATGCAGACAGGGTAGCTTAGATACTGGAGACAAATGTGATGGATACCCAAAGAAAAATAAAGAACTGCTGCTGTCTCAAAGCTTACAGAGTTCAAAACAAAACATGCAAAGTCTCAAAGTGTCAAGTTTTGGAGCCAGTATGGGTCAAAATGAAGCCAGACAGTTTGACTAGGGAATGAAGAGAAAGCTCAGGGGGATTACTTGCCTCTTGATTGATTTGATCTAACTAGGCAATAGTAGAGCAATAAGTAGTGAGCTATAAGTATACAAAACAAGTTATTATCAACTAGTTCTTTAACAATCTAAGGCAGTGGGGATAATCTGCATATGCCTGCATTCTGGGAAGCAAGAGAAAGTCACTGGAAACAACAAAGAAGTCAGACTTCAGCTGGCCTGCTCAAAACAGTGGCCCATGTACCTAACAGCTTGCAAAAATCTATAAATGTGTATTTTCCTACTTTTTATCCTATAGCATGGATAGAATGGATTCTCCATTCACAGTGACCTGCAAAGTGTGAGCAATATTTGTTTCCTGCCTGCAATT